ATTTGATTAAATGGTAAACAGGGTTGGACGCACTCAAGTCAATGGGAAGAAAAGAATAGCAGAGGTTTGAATTGTGACCTGTGAGATCAGAATTATTATATGTAGCTCTTAATAAGGGAACAAACCACAAATTCAGCCTCCTTTAGGTGCCTTGGTCCTCCCACTGCTTCCTCCCCAGCGAGCATCTCGAACTGTGAAGAGCATCCGCTGACGTTTGGCCGCTCGGCTGTGGCCTGTTTGCCACCAGGGGGCCTTCAGGGACGAGTCGGGACACCCTTTAGACCAGTTCCTGACAGGGGAAAGTGAGCGACCTTTGGCTTTGTTGTCTGTCGCCGCCGCTGGGGCAGGACCTTTTCATCAGATACGGTCACTGTATTCCCTCGGCCCCCATCCAATTTGCAGAGGCACTCTGTCACTGCAGACCGCTGAAGTCGATGAAATTAATGGATCAATAAGCCCTCTGAAAGTCTGGCGGGAGGGTCAAGATCCCCCCTGGTCGCTATCGGGTTACGGATCGTAATGAATGGGGTGTTGTTTATGTTGTAAAGTGCAGCGCCATCGAGTCCTTTGAGCAAACCACCCTCTCAGCCCGAGTGTAGCACAACTCTGCGGGGAGTTTTCAGGGGTGTTGTAATGAAACTGCCAAGTGGAAATGTGGTAAAGAATCACCGTTTTTTTGGGATGACCATGAGTAAAGGTTCCTGACTCCTAATTCTTCATGCTAATTCATTGGCTCCAGTGTCCCTCCAACTTCCCACTGTTTACTAACCCTCCCAAAAGTAACAATTACGGCTCTCTCCTGATTCATGTTAAGGAAATTAAGCTCAAGCTTCCCAGTAAGTGGCTTCTCCAGAACCAGCCTACCTCCAGGCAGCGCCAACCCTAATTGGTAGTAATTATAAATCCCATCTTAGAATGCACAAAGATAGCTCACAGCAAAACAGGCCTGTTTTTTCTTTTTTTTTTTAAGCGGCGGGCGCCAGGAAGTGTGAACGAAAGCTCCTTTAACAACCACCGGGGCAAATGATTGATACGGAAACCTCGATCAAAGTTGCCACTCCGTGTCAGGGAGATGAAATGAGATATGACAACACGTCGAGAGCGAGACGAGATGATGATCCTTTAGCTGACACGCTCGTGCACGAGCCCAGTGCAAATCATGCAAAGCAGTACTATGCATCTGCAGAACGTGCAAACGTTGGTCTCCCTTCGCTCCCTCCGTATTTTGGACGCGATCTTGCAGTGAAACGAAGCCACGGCAGGCTTGGCTCTCGTCTCCATATTTGCATGCTAACGGCATGAGGGGAACGCCCACCGCAGTCATTCGGCGAGACCGTCATCACTTGCAATTTGGGGATCAATGATCTCAAACAATGGCGGCTCGGCATTCATGCGTTTAGCGGCGAATGGAAACCATGTGCTTTCGGGGGGTTACTGATGGTCGAACCGGAGGAACGTGCTGACAGCTCTGGATGGCCTTGAGGTGCACGTTGGCCTGGAACAACTCTGCCAGGCTCGCAGCTCTGTTTCTTTGTAGAAAAACAGCCTTTGTTGCCACTGTTGGCAGTAAGTCAATCGCATGTATTAAGCTACCACGCAACGCTGGCCAGTCATCGATAGCCCTAAATGAGTGCATGTGGTGGCTTTGGGCTTCCTTTTGATCAGGTTGAGATTTTAATGGATTTTTGTACGCCTCAGACAGACGAGGCTGGGGGTTGGGGGGGGGGGCAGCCTGGGCCCGGCCCGGGGCAGACTGCATGCAGCCGGTGGGGGTCACTTGAACCCTGTGGTTGCAGAGCGGAGTGCTGAGACACAAAGAGCCAGCGCTGCGCTCACAAGTGTTCGACGGCGGGGAGAGTCAGGAAATTCTGGCGCCTTTAATCCCACCCGACAAAATCCCCCCCCCCCCTCCTCCTCCTCCCTTCCCCCCACCACACACACACACACACACACACACACACACACACACACACACACACACACTCCAAGCGGGTACTTCGGCTCACAAACCTGTACTACTACATTTTCCATTCATCCTCTGCAGGCTTGTATTAAATATAACCGCTCGATGTGAAACGTGACCTTAAACCTAATTTAAATCCAGTCATATTTACGGAGGCTACATTGTTTATCCAAATGTTAACAAAAGTGTCCTCCCACCACCAATAAAACACAGAAATAACTGAAGAAAATGACAAATCTGTTCTGTAGTGTAGTATTCCTTTAACGTGTTTTAACACCGGAGAAAAGGCGTTTATTTAAAATCATCAGATTAGAATTATTTCTATCATTATATATACTCTTTAGCTAGAAGAAGAAACCTACTGATCGGCTCTTTAAACCTAAAACCAAATGTTAACTCGAAAATCATACACCAGTTTCACATTTTCATTGTTGTTTGAAAGTTTCTGTGTTGGTTTTCTGTTAACCTCAAATGGAGGTCACACACAGAATCACAGACACGTTCCTCATGTAGAAAGAAGCATCTTCAGGTCTGTACTCGTTGGCTCCGTTTTTAAAGAATCGTTTAGGTTTTCGGTCGCAAAATGTTTTCTAACTTCGAGCGCTCTAACAAATTGTAACTTTTCAAACAAGGCTTGAAGACCAGAGAGAGCGTACAACACAACACCACACACTTTGTCCCAGGTGTGATGGTGCAAACTGTATTCTGACACCATAATGAATACCCCATAAATATATATTTTATATATATATTCACGGCAGTTTTTAGTGCATCATGAAAAACGTATTTGCAAAGAGTTATATTGTACTGTCAACAATAATCTAACAATTCTACTCCCAAAACATAGTCAATTGACATAATTTTCACTTTAGGGTGTATTAAAATGATGCAATTTGCCAATTAGATTCCATATCTTCAGTTATTCACTGTATACCGGTCATACAACTGCGTTATCTTGTCAAACTCAATTCCTGATTATCACCATTTTCAAAGGGCTGCTGCTGCTGGGACGATATGATAAATATCGCATCTATAATGGTGCCGTCAATAATTACACCGATAAGCCCTGAAATTACATGCATGTTCTCTGTTAAATGTCAGGAAACACTTCAGCGTAACAGGACATCGTTGTGTCCACTTCTTTCCTCTCTTAGCTTCTGCATTACGCGACACACTGGACAGCAACTCCTCTCCCTTGTGAGAATGAGAGATTCCGTCCAACCTCCACGTGCATTGCAAAAGGTGGACCGGAATCTGGTGGAGTAAAGCAGGGATCTGCGGGCAGACCAAGTGGTTGAGTGAACAGGTTAACAGCGGCGGGGCCTTGAATGGCTGTGACAGGGAGAAAGCCGGGAGAGGCTCCATCACTGAAAGGGGAAGTGACCCGGAAACGGTGTGTGTAAGTGCAGCTTGCTGGGCCTTTTAGGAAAGAAAATGTCTGACGCAAGTCCACCCTAAAAACACATTTCTCTTGGGTTTTTTTTTCCTCGCTCTCTGCGGAGATGGGTCACCCGGCAGAGACAAACAGTGGGGAGGATCTTATATGTTCATCACAACAAAAACTCTAAAATATAAAACACAAGAGCTTCTTGTTGCTTGAGCAGTATTGGAATGTAAATGCCGCTGCACAAATATAATATTGTATTCATTTGTCAACAATCAGCGCTGTTACAATTGTAGCCTTTGTCTTTGGTTATTTCTGTTTTTCAACTGGCATTTTTCAACCATTTGTTACTTCTTTGTTTAGAATGAGTAGTTCTACTACATTGGCCACATGTTTTTTTGTTTATTAAAACATTTGACTATATTGTGTTTATCAATGAAGTCCTGAATTATTCTTGGATATTCTTTTCCTTTGCTTGTTTTGACAAAAAAGCATCTGAGAAGCTCACCAGAAACTTCACACTGCTTAAGGATCTGAAAAGATTATATTACATGTGGATGTCAAAACCATTCGCTCTCGCAGTATTAAGTGCTGCCACAAAAATGTTCTCCTCACTTTTCTGCTTTAATACTTCAAACTGTATTTGGTAAATGTGATTATGCACATTCTTATGCACGTCGTATTAGTTTACTGTACATATATTTGGTTTAAGTTGAAGACAGATTGTGGAATACATTTCAGAATAGCAAATGCTCTCTTCTCTCATAAATCATTCTGAATGAAGTTATGGTTTCAAGCCGAAAGTATAAAGATTATGTTTTTCAATAGATGGATCAGCTAAAAGGGATCATTTTGTTAAAAAGAGGGTGATTCAGTTCTGTAGAGTTTATATAATTGGCTGAGGTTAATATTTGCACTAATACATCACTGATTAATTACTACTAAGTATGTTTCTCGGGTTTTTACATTTTATGAGATTTTGTACGTAGAACTAAGGTACATTTTGCACATTTCTAAAAACCTAATATGCATATTGAGTTACTTAACAGATTTTCTTTTCTTTTCTTTATCAATTAAATAAAAACGTATTAATTAAATTAAAGTACACAAACCACCAGCTTTAAGTGGTGCACAATGGTTGCAATGCAAAATTCTGAAATGTATATAATGCTAATTTTTTTGTAACCTACTTCAGTGGGATTTTGAATGCATGACTTTAATTTGCAACAGAGTATTTCTTTCTAATCTAGCTTTTGCTACTTGTACTCAAGTAAAATACCACAATTACCACCGTAAAATATCCGCGAGCTACCACTGTCAAATAATGCGTGTGTTACAAAATGAACACGTATTATTTCAAAACGTTGTTCGAAAGGAAATCATTGCAATGTTGTTTTGCTCCACCTCGGTGCCGTTAGCTGCACGTGCAAATACAAGCGTGTCAGGTTAAAAAAGAACGGATTAACCCCAATTTTGCCACTTCAGAGGAAACCCCTTAACTTTAACTTGTTCACACTTAAAATGACTCAAACTGTCTTAGATTGTTTTACGCTGCACCGGTTTTACATGAAAATATCTGAAATGTAATGAAACACAAGGAATACTTGTGTTTTGTCTTTTTTCCCAATATATTACTCAGCTTCAGGCAACAGCTAAAATTGCAAATATTACACTTTTATTGCAAAATTCATAAGGAAATTTGTTACTGTGTCCACAGTCATATGACATGTCGCGTGAAAACCAACGGGCGTTTAATAACAATGATAACAATAATAATAATAATAATAATAATAAGGCCATATAAATAGAAACGAAGTGTTGCTTCAGAAAACCGTATTTTAAAGTTGAACACCGGGAGAAACAAGGTGAGTGACGTGGAGTCACAAAGTTGATGCAGAGATAACGTACATTCGTTCAGATCACATGACACACGCACATTTGTCTAATTTTAAACTTTCTATTGGAATACCTCAAGCATCATCCTCATAATAATAATAATAATCTAATAACAATAATGATAATAATAATAATAATGATGATACAAAAAGTGGCACATGCATGTCTTGGACTAGTTGATATGTTGAGTTTGGACTTGGAAATACTTTTATTAAGTAAATGCATTTTTTTTTTAAAGTCATCAAAAGGGGGAAACGCGTATGTCCGACTGTCCACACACTGTCATCCGATCCCAAGCAAAGGAAATCCTCAGTCTGCATCAAACAGGCCAAAATATTTGCCGGTGTTGGAGAAGTAGATGTAAGGCGCAGCGGTCGCAGTCGGGTACACGACGGGGAAAGGCATCGGTAACAAACATCCGCCCAGCAGGCTGCTGTCTTTGTAAAAAGTCGGTAATTGCACATTGTCCGTCGCCTCCGAGAGGTGCTCGCCGGTCAGCGGCCCCTCCATGTCCGTGGACAACTGTCTCTTCAGCTTGTTGCGACGGTTCTGAAACCAGATCTTCACCTGCGTCTCGGTGAGCTGCAGGGAGCCGGCGAGACACGCTCTCTCTGAGCTGCTCAGATACCTCTTCATGTCAAACGTGGCCTCCAGCTGAAAGATCTGTCTCTTTGAGAAGATGGTGCGCGTTTTCTTCTTAACCGTGGCCTTGGATTCCGCGCGGGGCCGCTCGGACGCGTCCTCGGCCGTGTGCGCACTTTGCGCGCCGGGACAGGAGCCGTCGGTCAGCAGCGGTGTGTTTTCCCCGCAGTCGGCGCGCTGGACTCTGGGCTTCTTTTGCGCTGTGAATGAAGCGACAATACCGCTTTAGCGCCGTTTTTTTAAGATGCACATTAATTGCAACATAGACTTTTGGTCCGCGCCCGCCTCGAACTGTGTGTATCTATCATGCATTAGCCCCAAAATAGGATTTCCCTATGTTTTGTTTTACAATTCCCAGTTACCTGTCTCGTCTGACCCGCTGCCATCCCTGCTCCGGACGTCCCACGCCTCGTCGTAGCGCGCCTGTACGTCCCCCTTACATCCAGCGTCCCTCTGCGCCTTGGACCCGTCCCGGTCCCCGCCGCGCTGCTTCAGGTTGAGGATGTGGTCGATGGTGAAGGTGAGAGAAGCGCTCCGCGTCGGCGCGTCCTCTTTGCTCATGTTCCCGGGCATCTCATCTGCTCCTCCGAGATCCCCGAAACACCGACGTCTGCTCCGGACGCTCCGAGCACCATCGCTGCGCGGCTGCGACTGTGCCCGCGCGCGAGGGAAGGAGCGGGGCGCGACGCACACCCCGCGACCCGGAAGACTGCGGTTTTAGCGGCTTTTGATTGGAGCAGGGTCGCGGGGGGGGGCCGATGAGGGCGGGACGCAAATGTGTGCGTCTGGCTGCCATATTGTAGCTTTAAAGCACTTACGATGCTGTCATCGAGGCTGCTGCCCGCTGGCTTCGTGCACCACGCTGGGCAGATGTGAGGCGTTTGCAGGGTCCGTTTGACTAAGACTAAAGTTAACACTGTGGGTTTGCTTGATATACAACTTTATGGTTTTGTTCACGCTGCACTTTTGAGTCTTTGGAGTCATGATATATGACCACTTAGGGTCATCGTTTTCCCAAAGTGAAGCTCTCTGAAGTTTACTCCCAGACTGTTCTTATGAAACTTTCTACTCTCTTAATTCCAACATATGGTTGTGTATTGGCTAAATGTATTTGCCACCAAGGACAGAAAACACATCAAATGCTGCTGGTACAAACCCACCTAACTGCATCTATTTTATTCATTTGTGAACATATCAGTGTACAAAAGTATTGTACACAAAACTGTGTCAAAGAATATTGCGTATGCACCACGCATGCTCACAAAAGTGACCACAACTTTTTTATAAATTTGTAATTTTATATCTGTTTATAATATTACCAGTGTAAAAAAGATTCAAAGCTGTGTTTGTATACCTTTATTTGTAAACATGTGAGAGAAATATGCATTAGACCTGGAATAAAGATAAAGCAAACAGAAAAACATAGAAAATGGAAATGTGGTTCCTGAGTTTAGTGTAACACACAGTCTAATTTGTTTTGCAGTTATTGTTATTTTCTCATTCATTGTTTTTACCTTCCCCAATCTTAAATTGTCGGTCTAGTATACAAGTACTGATTTACAGTCTTGCTTGACCTCCTACATGTGGGTCATCAGTACGTTGTGTGTGAAAAAGAATCAAACACATAAAACAGGTGTTAAGTGGTGTGAAATATGCTCCGGATAGGACAGAGGTTGTTGACGCATGGGGGGTCTTAAACATGTCCACTTCTTTATTTTGCACTCTCAAAATCACTTAATATAATTTGCGACACAACCCTGGGGAACGCCAGTCTTGTTTAAATGGTTAAAGCAGCCTGTCAAAGATCACGATGGTTGATTACTTCTCGAAAACCTAAACAAAGGATGAATTGACTCGGATGCCGTCTGACTTGAAACTGAACGAGAACCAACATTTTTGCAGCATCTTTATTTGAATTCACTTGTGTCCAAAGAGCAACGATTATTTTTCCCTCCACCCTCAAAGTCACACCAGTCCGGTCATCTGCGGCGATAGGAACGACACGGGGTAGGCGAAGTGGGAAGTCAATGGGTAGTTGATGGCGTTGGATGGGTAGTTGATGGCGTTGGAGAAGCCTACCATCGTCGACGACGTCGCGCGGGGCAGGCCGCTCATCGCCCTGGGCGCCGCCACGTTCTCGCGATACAACACGGGAACCCGGACCGCCCTCCGGGCCCCGAAGGGCACGCCGGCGGTGCTGCCGGACTCCGCGTCCGCGGCGATCTGCCTCTTCCACTTGTTCCTGCGGTTCTGAAACCAGATCTTCACCTGGGTCTCGGTGAGCTGAAGCGAAGCGGCCAGCCCCGCTCGCTCCGAGCTGCTCAGGTAGCGCTTCAGGTCGAAAGTGGACTCCAGCTGGAACACCTGACTCCGGCTGAACACGGTGCGGGTCTTCTTCTTCCGAGCCACTTTCGTGTCAGCTGTGGAGGAGGGCGGGAGAGGTTAAAGTAACTGGGATTGGTGACAACTCCTGGAACAGTGCAGTTTATATCAGTAGGTCTTTATTGTGTTAAGGAGATTATGGGTGGACAATTAAGACAAGTGGCGTATTGATGCAAGAACTCTTGTGGACATCTGGACAACACATGCTGTCAAGAAAAATAATGAAACCGTACCAAAGCCAAAAGTTAGCAACACAAACAACTCAATAGCGCGGTCTGACAGCACGCATGCGTAGTGTCCTCGCGCTAAAAGCGCAGCTATGGGCGGACTCCTTTTTCCAGGTGAACTGTGGCCTCACCTGTGTCGCAGCTGTAAGATGAGTGCGCGTCGTCCTCCTCTCTGTCGTCAGTCAAACTATCATCCCCCTTCTCCGCCGGCCCGTCGATGTCTTCCCGTCCCACTGGAGTCGGGGAATCCCGGTCGCTGGTTGAGAGACGCTCCGTTTGTTCCTCTTTGCACGGTAGACCTGTGAGGAAGATTGAGGAAAAAAAAGAAAACGCATCGACAAATCACTTTCTAGGCCTAGTTTCGCACGTGTACAAAGGCAAAACGCCATTGGATATCTTTCCCGCCCTTGCTGTCTTCTTACAGATTATAAATATACTACAGCGTGAGATCTCCAATGCTGGTCAACCTGGAACATCAGTACGACATAGTTGCCAAAAACAGGGTGAAAAACGTGAGAGTTTGGGTGTTTCCCGCGGTGCAAGGACATCGAAACGTGTTCAGCATCATGTCCTCTCGTTGCCTTATCATGAACCAGCGAGATGTTTGCATATAGTGTGTGTGTTTTATAAGGAGGATAAATGCTGCACACTATGTAGCCTCACATGACCCAGAATATACGTCTCAACGTATTTACTGGTTCGGTGGCGTCAGGTGGTGAATATCATTTTTTGCAAAACCACAGTTTGTAATCGCCGCTCAACCCTCCGCAGGAGCAGATCATCTCGAACCAGCAGACGGAATGGGAGCAATACTTCTCACGACATCTGTATCCCCGTGCTCTGTATCACCAGATGGGGACAGACCGATCACTGACTGACAGGTGCCACTCACTTCTCCGAGTGCCGCACACCAAGTTCGGGGATGTCCCGCTCCGGTCCGGCGCCTCCCCGCCGCGCGCGCGTTCTGTCCGCTGCCCCGGAGAGGTCACCGGGCTGTGGCTCTCCACGCGCTCCTCGGACGGATCCCCGCTGTGCGCGATGCGCAGCAGATTCTCGATGTAAAAAGAGGAGCCTCTCGGCGGAGGACGCAGCTTCGATCTGGGCGCCTTGGCGTCGAGCATGTTTACTTCGGCGGTCCGTTCCCAGGTAGCTTTCACCTTAATTCAAATTAAAAAATAAATAAATAAATATGCCAGATAGGGATTTTTCTTTTTTACGAAATCCTCGCCGGGAATGCGTCTTGTTGCTTCCAGGCGGGGAGTGTCCTGCGCTCCGCGTGGACCCATCCGCGCAGCAGCGAGAGCTCTGCTGAGATCCGGAGCGTATTTCGTTTCAAAAGGGCCGGGAAATTTTACCCCAAAACCCCCCCCCCCCCCCCCCCCCCCGCACAACAACACGAGACTGTCTCGCTCTTCTCAGACTCCTCGTGCACGCGGTGTGATATGGTCTCGCCTTGAGGGATGCTAGAGATCCAGTATTTAGGTCAATTAGGGAGCAAAGCAACGCAGGGATGCGGCGTTGTCCTCGGGGCTGGAGACGGAGGACGCTTCATGGAGAATGGCACAGTACCGCCTATTGGTCAAAACATGCACGCTGAGGATTTTCACTCTGTAAATCTCTTTTTCTCAGTCTGTGCTTTTCTTAAAAACATTATTTAAATGTGTGTGCACGCAATGCAATACGCATTAATATGAACCGTATTCACAAACGAACGGTTTTTTGATCTGAAAGTACTTTGACCATTTTTATCACTTTTTAAAACTTTGTCAAAACAAAGTGACAATAAGAAAAAAAAAAACAATTCATTAAAATAACTATAAATTATTATTATTATTTGTACGATTACAGAGATGTTAAAACGAATGTCTTATAGCTGATAATGGTTCTTCTTTAGAACGAGTTACACGCCAAAATGGTTTTAATTGGTAATGGTTTAAAAGGTCTACAAATCTGCTGTGATGTGGTCTAATATCTTTTTTTTATTTATTTGAATTAATTTGTGTGTGTGTGTGTGTGTGATTTTTTTGCCAAAAGACAATAAAAATTAAAGTCACTTTCCTTCAGAACCTATTAATATGATATACTGCACTTAACATTTCACATTTGTGAACTATATGACTCGTCTTAAACTCTCTGTAAAAAAAATAATATATATATAAAATAATTTCATTTTTATGTCCAAGTTTTTTGTTTTCAAACACGTAACAACCCCCCGTGTGGGGCATATAGAGCAAAGCGGCCTCATGCAGAACACTGTCTCACTTTCACGCCGATTGGCGGGTCTGCGACAGAGATCCGCCAAAAAAAGCCAAATGTAGCTCATCCATAAAGAGAACATCTCTTTTTCTGTCTCTAACAGAGCCTGCGCCACCTTAAATGTCCGTAGATGGAGAGCCAGTGTGCTGCAGCTTAACGTGAGTTGATTAATGCTGAAGGTGGAGAATGTTTAGTCAGTGGAGTAAAACACCACCGCCTTTGGAGTTGTAATAGGATTGAGACACTATGAAAAGCTTACTTTCATCCGTAAGTAGCCTTGAACAAATGCGCAGGACATTCCAGGCTGCAGGTCTTTTTCAGACACGTTGATTCGACCCAAAATATAACAAAATGTTTTCTGATGCTTTTTCTCTTCTTTTTTCACAAGAAAACATCAAGAGACGCGAGCTAGAGAATCCCCAACGTTCACTTTGGGGGATTTCGGGGTGACTGGAGGCAGAGAACAACAAACCGCTTGTTTTCTCACAGGAGTTAGTGACACAATCACTCTCCATTGTGCCACTACGTTGACTTTATTTAAGCCTCTTTTGGAGTAATAGCCCGTCAACCCAATACTGCGGATTCTGGTTAAGGTGTAACACCCCTCAGGTCATTCTCACCAATTTACAAGAGAGTTTCAGACAAGTAAAAGGGATGAAAGTTTGTTTATCATACAGCCTATGTGGCCTATTTGAGCTGTTTGTAATATAGAGTGTTACATTGTGGATGCACTCACAAAAAACAATTGTTTTCAAATCCCATGTGTGTGCCCATTGCTTTGCGTTTTTTTTAATTTGTTATTGAAGTTGAAGAGGTTGGTTTGAAATGAAAGCACTCCATAAAAAACAACAGCCATGTATTTATTTATTGAAAACAAAGAGGCACGTCAGTACTTCTCAATTAGTAGACAATTGCTTCCAACCTTACACGCTCATTTAATCCCTCAGGAATCGGCTAGGAAACCATAAAATAAAGCCTCTTGAGTGTTACTTATTAAGTGTTTAATACATCAGCTAATCCGCTTCACCGGGACTGTGTGTTTATTATATTTATCAGAATCCTGCATCATTTTCCCCCCAAAATGTGGATTCAAATTTTAATCTTCAAGATTTATGCAACATGTGCAAAAAAAATGGACTGTATCAAACACTCAAACGATCTTCTCCCTCATCTTCTTCTCTTGTGTTTTTAACTTTTTCTTAAGTTGCGCAGTTTCCCGTGGTTTTGTCGTTGCGTGCGCATCGGTCAGCGGTGCATCACTTCCTGCTGAGACGTTGCAGAGAAAGGAATCTTATCAAAGGCCACAACTGCTTCTAATGACCTCACATCCTATTAGTCTGGAACTATGTTGCGGCCTATAAATAACCGTAAGGCAGGTGTGTGTCCGGTAATTAAAAAAAACAACAACCTTCAGAATGATTTAGCGACAGTTTGAGCTTTTCTGCTGTTTCCTCCGCCCAAAACAAAAATCTTCCTGCAACCATAATTCACCCGGACATGTTTCTGCGTCACTCTGAAGGAAGCGCGACCATCTCACGCAACGACCACCGCTTCCTTCCACGTCTGGCCTCGTTGTGACGCATCGCACGGAGGCGCGCGTGCAGCGTTTCCTAATTAACGATGGCACTGCAACGTCACACACGTGATGCCTCGATGTGCCCTGCCGCCTCAACACTTTCAGCTTCCCAAATCAAGGCGGAAAAGAGTTCAGAAAATGTATCGGCTGACTGAATGTTCCCGTAAATATACTGTTCTTACTTGTTTGAGGCGGTGGCAGAACAAAGTAAATCCTTTGCTACAACAATTGCAAACGTTGTGTCTGCAAAATGCGCCTGTGTCCAAACGTAAAACCCTTCATGAGGCGTTAATCATCAGTTTATTTTCATCGCTCATGATTCATGTGTTTTAATGTTGTTATTTTACATCGCTTTAATACAACAAATAGTTATGTTTTCCATCGTTTTTTAAAATAAAGTAAATATGTGCATGTTGAATGTAGCACGACATAAAAAGCACCTAAACTGCACTTGTAATGGCTCTTAGCAAGTTGTAGATCGGCTTATTCGATGAAATTGCACTTTCTCGTGTCTTGTTCTTTTGGGTCTGTGTTCTTATGGTTGAAATGCACTTATTGTAAGTCGCTTTGGATAACAGCTAAATGACATGTAATGTAATGTAACATACACACAGCCTCAACCTCTAACTGCACTTGTTGATTTAACATAAGGTCTAATCAAATAGCACATAAAAAAAACACGCGTTTCTTGGCGATTACTTTGATTCCCTGACGACGAAAAACAAAAGCATCAGGAATGTCATACATGTTGGCTCCTAAATCCAGTATCATTAGCGGTGCATCTGTGTGTCGTCCTGCACGATGACAATCTCTGCATTAAGAGGCTTGCTGGGGTGGGGGGGGGGTCCTCCACATCATTACTGGCTCTATAATGGGCTACTGTGGCGATGCGAGCTGTTGGGGTTAAAGCCACGGCCTACAAAGCGATAGTGTATACGAGGTCAGCGGGGTCCAGACATCGTGGGTCGGCCTAAACAGAGGCACTCAACCGGAAGGCCCCTTTATGTCACATCAAGCGTGGAGCTATTGACGAATCTGTCTGTCTGACTTTTTTTTTTTTTTTTTTTTAGCTCTTCAGCTCTCTTGTTTTTATTTCACCAGCAGTCCATTTTTAAAAAAAACGTTTCCTATAGCAATGCTGTTCCCGTCAGATGAGAGGTTGGACCCGCGGTTTGTGTCAAACAGGTCAGACCTCCGGGGCTCCACGCTGTCACTAATGTTGCTTAATCTGCGTGTTTCATGCCTGCTCACAAACTCTAAAAAGAAAAAAAAAAATCCAGATTACAAGCATCCAAAGTGACGCTTGTGCTTAATCCCTATTAGGCCTCACCTTCCTGCACCCGGAGTGCAGTTCAACTGGGGAAAAAAAACAACGACACAAAAAGCTTTACTGTTTGGTTTGTTATAAGCGTAGAAATAACCTTGTGTTTTTAGCTGTTTGCTTTATTTTTGGTTTATCTCTCAGTGTCTCTCAAGCCTCCGAAGAGAGTCCTGACTGGAGTGAACTATTGCTGCCTGCTTGTTTAACCCTTGCACGGCAAATTAACCCCTGTTAGAGCCGACTTGTCAGCTCGGCACAAAGGAGGAGAAGGCCTGATATTTTAACCACATTAAGGCCGAAAGCCACCCCCCCCCCCCCCTTCCCTCCCTCAGAGCGGCTGAAACAGAAGGGCGAAACATTTCTCACTGAAAAAAATAAATGATGACCCTTTATGAAAAAAAACGACGACAACAAGCCTGAACTGGGCTCATTGCAACAGTTAATCAGTGTCTCGTTCCCTTTAAGTTCAAACCCGCTGTTTCTCGTGCACGTTGAGGTGATCAAAGGTGCACGTGCACCTACACAGGAAACGTGTCTTTTCCCTGTGGGTGTGGGGTGGGAACCGAGCAGCACTTGAGATGGATTACAGGCCCACGTCAAGTACAAGGACTTATGGCACATCAGATCAATGAGAAACATCAGCCCTCCTTTAATACCGCTCAGGTCTGCAGCAGTGCCAGGAACTGGGGTCAAATGTCAACGCAGCGCATTCTCCTGAGGTCATTTTTCTCTAAATAACACTCAACCTTTCGGAACTTCTCAAAGCAGACGAATGCTTAATAATAAACTATATATATATATATATTATTAAAATATATATATATATATATATTTTTTTTCCCGTGAGTCCGAGCAAAACTTATGCGGGCTTTTTTAATTTTATTTTTTTCCATAAGGGGGGATAAATTCTCCAGAGAAGAGGGACTTTCAGCTCAAAAAAGGGAGGTCCGCGTGCGGAAGAAGTATACGCCCAAGGTAGCAGCTGACTGCGGTGGGGAGTGCAGTGCCCCCCCCCCCCCCCCCTCCACCCCCCACACGAGGTCAAAGCACTTCTGTCATAGTAGTTTATAGGCAGGATCCATATTTTTTAATAAATCATGCCCTTGAGGAGTAGACAGGAGTCTCTTACTGTGGGATTGTACTTAATGAGGGAAGTTTAAAGGG